AATTCGAGTTGCAACCAGAGTCACAGAACGGATTAAATTCGTAACTCGAGGTACCACTGTATATCTTTTTTTTCTACAACAAAATGGTCTTTATCCTGAAGTAATGGAGAGCTCACCATAATACCAAAATCTGGAACTACTGACTGCCTTATTGCCTGACTTTCAGTAACTCAGTTGAATGTTAAGTTTTTTAGGTCTGTCAGCCATGGTCTCTGACACATTAATTGAAACCTCTTTGTGCAAGGGAATCAGTTTGTATCTACTAATGGTTTTGTCAGTCCACTCATGTAAGGCTGCCCTGTGGTAGTCCCATTGTGATGACTTAATGGGATAGAGCATTTTTTCCATGAACATGATCCCAGGTTCACCCAAATCACAAGGGACACTGCGACAGTCATAAGTGCAAGGACTGGTCATAAGTCACTTTTATCAGCACCTTTGTAACTTTAGTCGCTAAACAAATGGTCATAAGTCAAGGACTACTGTAAATCTGTATCTAAACCATAGTGCTTGCCGTGTGTTTAATTTCCTCAACACCCCTCTCTCCCAGAATGGTTATTCTGGGGACTGAACATTTATTTTTGTGTGTTTAACTGAGTTTAGAGTTCAGTTTTGTCAGCTGATTGTGTTTTCTCAAGATTCACTTTATTCTCTTGAACTTCTAATGTGCCTTTGATGACAGAAAACATAATTCAGGAATTGAAGTGAGTTTCCCCTTCTTTTGATGGTCTGGCAAAGTATCAGGGAGAAGTAATTTGAAGGGTATGTCACTTCAGATCAGATCAGCTTTCAGAGAGATCTAATCCTCATATATTTTGTTTTGTGACTAAACAGCAGGTTGGACCTATGGTTCCTGTTGCTATTCTGCTAAAGCACTCCTTCCTTTCACGAAGGGAATCCTTGAATGTAACTCAACAAACTATTTTTTACAGTATGAACCTTTTTACCTACAGATATATCCCTGTTTTAAAATTATAGGTCAGCCTCATTCTGGCTTGTTGCAGTCAGGCATTATCAGCTGCTACGTCATGTACCTCACTTTCTCATCTCTTTCAAGCAAACCTCCAGAAATCAGTAAGTTACCTTGCATTAGGAATTAACATATACATGTGCACTGATTATCTATGTAAAATTAGCCTTCTCCCAACCTGATACTTTCCAAATTACATTGCCTGTGCTAATTAGGAATTCTGAAAGTCCAACACACCTTGAAATCACCAGATTGGAAATGTCCAGTGATACCACCGAAAATGTATTGTTTAAGATGTACTATATCAATTAATACCTCTAGTCAAACAGAAAGGAAAAGCAGCAAGTTTACCTTCTCAGTTATGTCTTCAGATGTTTAAATCACAATCAGTTTCAGTAATATTTTCCATATTTAAAAGTAATTTATTTTTAAATAGAAAAGTCTCCGTCTGCAAAATATAAAGGAGGGAGTCAATCCTGCTTCCCCCCAGCAGCCCCCATTCACTTCAGGAATCAGCTGTACAGACTTAGAAGATCTTCAACAAATTGAGAGATGCAGGACACTTGAGGGAATTGGAGAGAAGGGAACACTCCATTGTCCAAGCCAAAGCATGTGTGAATAATTGGAAAGTCATAACTGAAATGTAAAATGAATTGTGCTAATTGTGGGCTCTTTTTAAAGTCCTAGATGAGAATCAGAAGAATATCACAATCTGTGTGCCTGACTTTGGCCAAGAGCTGCAAACGGATGAAAACTTGGTGACTGGGCTGGGAACTACTATTTTGTTCTGTTGCATTTTATATTCCTGGTAAGTCTTCAGTTCAGCTGCAATACAACCAATTTTATGCAGATACAGACATCCATTTACTTCTGAGAAGGGAATAACTATCTGATATCTTTCTACAGTAGCTTTAATAAATTCTATTTAATTTAAAAATATGTAACGTTTATATTTAAGGAATTGGAAAATAGCTTAATTGAAAAACTACTGTACAAAAATATAGTATGAAGTTTCCATCTATGTTCTAGGATTAATGCAGACTTACCATCCCAAAGAGCAGATGTTAGCCTGCACAACTTGTCAAGGAAAGAGCTGCAATTATAAATAAAAAATCCTTGTGGGCCGCAAGTGCCTGGAGTGCTGATCAGCTGTACCATGGCTGACGGAGCAGTGGAAGCACTGGAGCTGGTGGTAGCAGCTCTAAATTTAGTACTTTTTAAAAAACGTCAACTGGCTACACAAGATTGCTTGGTAGGCCATGTGTAGCCTGTGATTCAAGTTTGGCTCAGAGAAAAGGAATGATTTCTTCTAGTATTTTAATTGAAATAATGTAATAGCATTTACATAACCAAATATATTATCTAATGATTCATCTGCGAAGAGAGGACTCCTGGGAAAAGACCCTGATGCTGGGAAAGATTGAAGGCAAAAGGAGAAGAGGATGGCAGAGGATGAG